GTGAATCTTTATCTCTGGGAATCCTGAGTTCCTGGGTTGAGGTTGTATCCTTGCAGAAACTCTTTGTGTCCCAAGGTTATCATCAGCCCAAAGACCATTTTTTAATGTAAGTCAGTTCTTACCAGGCAGTAGAAGTGACACTCAAACCTTGAACCCACTTGACCCCAAATTCTTAGGGAAGGTCTGAGCCCCTGTTATCTCAAGGCCAGGCACAAGGCAAGCTTTCTTGACAACATCTTTTGCTGGCATGTTAATTTTTTCTAGTTCACTCTTCTGCTGAAGATGTAAGCCCCTCCAGGGATCTCAATTCCAACCTCCCATCTTATTATTATTATTTTTTAAGTAAGCTCTACGCCCAGTGTGGGGCTTGAACCCAAAGCCCCAAGATCAAGAATCACATGCTCTACTGACTGAGCCAGCCAGGCGCCCCCAACCTCTAACCTCTTATATAGGTTCAAGGTTTTATCTTTTCTATCCTTATAGTAATTAAATTGAGGCCCCTTGTTTCCTACCTCCCTGCTCCCCAGGGCAGGGAAAGTGAGCACCATCTCAGCACTCTGATGTTCAGTGACTATTCTCTCCCTCTCTTGTTCCTGGATGTATTTAAAAGGAAACTGGTTATAGTCTATCTAGAATTTCTAAAGGGAAGTTTTCTTTTCCCTGTTCTAGGAGAGAATTTTCAGATTATCTAACTCACTACACAGATAGAAACAGAAATCTGGGCAAGTAATTGAGCTCCTCTAAACCTGTTTTCTCATTTGTAAAATGGGACAGGGGACTGTCAAGAAAAAAAAAAAAAAGAAAAAAATATATGCTAAGCACTTAGCCCTTTGACTAGTAAACAGAGGGTACTCAATAAATGGTAACTATGAAATTAGTTTTACTGGAAGCCTTAAATTTTATAATCAGCCATTGGAATAAACAAATTCAATCTGACAGAGTGGGTTTTTCTTGTGTTTTGGCTTAAAGAATACTGAATATTTACTGGTCTCCCAAGCAACTGCAGACCAAGGCTCATAACCCATACCAAAAATTAAAGTATGCTATTAACATGATCCAAGTCTATTAATTAGAGCACATTTTATAGGGGTCTGATTTGCCAATTCTGTTTATTTTGTAGTTTTGAATAAAAATGGAATATTTGGGGAAAACTCCCCAAGTTGGTAATTCAGACAAGTGTTCTCTTTCGAGTTTAAATTAACTAACTAGAATGTTTGGGGCTATAAGCTCTCAGAAGGCAACAGCTATTCAATTTGCTTAGAATAATACCCATTATTCTAAGCAAACTGAATATCAATTAAGTAAAAACGACCTCCCAAACATGATACTTTGGTAGAGTAAAAAAACAAAATCAAGAAGACTTGAGTCTGATACATAATTGTGCTGTTTGACCTGGGGCGAATCCCTTAGTGATTATGAACCTGTTTGTTTCCTCATCTCTACAGAAATCTGCCCTTTCTATGTCAGAGTGGCTATGAGGAGCAAATGAGGCAGGGCAGCCACTGTGAAAGCCACGTGAAAGTCCCTTTTGTACTGTAATGTACTGTAATTCTATAAAGCATTATTAAAGTATGTTAGAAGTATATAACAATATCCCAAGTCTGTTCATGGGCATCACTATCATATAGAGAAATGCAGAAAGGTAAATTTCTCCTTGTCTGGTCCCATGAATTACTTCTGTAGTCACTTTCAAGCAGGGCCCTGTGTGGGACAGATGTCTAAATTCATTCTACCCAAGCCAGCTGAAACAGCTTACTGTGTTTTGGGGTCATTCTGTGGTCTGTTTGGTCATCCAAGTACCCTTAGAATGCAGCACAGGGTAAGTCCACAAGGGTGGAGAAAAAATTTAGAGGGGAAAACAATGTATGCTGCAGTTTTTGCATTGTATTTATCCGTATGAATGAGAGACAGCATTACACAAAGAACCCCTACAAAGAAAGAGCTGAGGTAATTGCCTCATGACATTAGTAAATTATTTCAGCACATAAAGGGAACTGGATGGCAGTAATTCAAGCAGTCTAAAAGACTCTGAAAAAGGCCACAGGCACTAAAAGAACCGTAGTTTGCTACCAACTTGGAGAATTTAAATTTTCTAGTCCATAAGACAGAAATCAGTGTACATATCAATAAGCAATTTTAGGTTGACTGATATTTTATTATTTGTGAATGATAGATTAACAATGGCCAATTATTTCCCATGCCAACTATTTATCATATTTTCCATTCCATATAATACTACGAATAAGGCCAAGATTTATGGAATATTCTACTTTTTAAATCCTTTTATTAAATCCTTCCCAAAATAGCTCTAAAATTTCATTGGTTCAGCAATTCCAACAGTTATATGTTGGATTCCTCCCAAAGAAGCCCGGTGGCTCGTGCACTCTCACGGGGATCCCAGGCGCTGGGTTCCCACAAGCCAGCACGTGCACAGTGCGCACCTTAACAGCAAACCCACTTTGTGGGGTGTGGCGTGACTGCTCACACAGCGCACAAAGGGCAACACGACTAAATTACTATGAAATCTGAGGCCGGTTTTGCTCTGCAAGGGTAGTACAATTTTTCTAGAAAGAGTGCCACGGCAAGGTCATTTTTGTAGTTGCCCAGAACGTCCTCTTTTTAAAAAAAAAAACAAAAAACCGCCCATCACCAGCAATAATTAATGTCCATGCTCTTCCACCTCCCCAACCTTGAGGGCAGCCTCAGCATTCTTCAGAACTTCAGTGTTTCAGGGGCTATCAGAGGAAATATGTGAGATAAACCCTAACTGCCATTCCTGGGTTAGAGGGAGCCAGTGACATCGGATTAAATTGCAATAGGAACAGGAGACAGCCAACTCCCTCAGCAGTGGCTCTCAGAAGCGTGGAGAGAATGAAATCTGAATCCTAACATGGGGACAGCAAATTCCATTCCCTAAAACGAAAAGTACTGATGGAGGCCTTATGATACAGTTCTTCCACACCGCCTCACGCTAGACACGGGCATGTGCGTAACTGCAGAATGAGAGCATCAAGATCTAGCTCCATGTGGGGGCCATGTGAGAAATCACTCTGTAGGGTGCACTCGACATGTCTTCATGATGGGAGAATTCCTCTTCTGTTTGACAACATTCACGTCCCTGACAGTACAGTGAGGTTTCTCATATGCTATTCAGAGATCCCTGGATCTGAAGATAAATGGATAGGAAACCTTTTTATTACTCTGCTCTGCTGAATAAAGGTCTTAGGAGAGAAGACCGTATCTTTATAATCATGAAATTATCAAGACACATAAGGTGATCAGGAACATTATGCTACATCTTTAAGGCTGTAGACAGAGTAGAACATTAGTGTTTAGAGATCCAGAGGACCCTAGTGAATTCCAAAGGACTGTGGTCTCATTCAGCAATGAATAGCCATGACTTGTTTCTGGAGTTGGTAAATTCCCCTCAGGCAGTGACTTTTGTAAGGGGATAAAATAGGTTTCCATTCCTTGTGAGCATTCTCAAGATCCTTTGCGGCACTCTCACATTTAACCCGAGGCCATGAGAGCAGACTATTTACTCTGAAACTGCATTTCTTCAATACAGCTATGGAGAGGATTGTTTCTAAGAACTGCGCGTCATGTTGCACCCTACCCTTTGCCATTTATTACAATTGAACCCTCAGCCGCGCTGCAGCAGAATCTGCCAACAAGGAATAGCTACTAAACTGAGAGCCCCCTTTGTCCACCAGGACCCAATTGGTGCTATACTAATGTGGAAGGGAAACCATCCAAGATTTTGAATGAATGGGCTGGAAGTATGCACCATTACAGACACAAAATGTCTTATTGTGAAGGTCTGCTAGAGGTATACTGTGTTAGGTTTTAAGAAACACTTGAAGCCACAAAGCTATTTCTCTTTCAAACATATTGACACCACAGATGTAAAGAAAAAAAGCACACAGAGTTAATGAGCCCTCAGCACACCCAAATGCTCTGAGAAGTTAGCCAAAACCTAGGAGAAAACTATTAATATGAACCCAGACCAGGGAACAGGATCAGTGTAAACAGCTCAACTCGAGAGCTGTGAATCAAAGTCAATCACGACAATGTAACCTTCTCCCCAAAGATATGGTAAGTCCTTTAGACCAAAACTACAGGGAAAAAATGTTTCCCTAAAGATTTCATTACCAGTAACAGGACAGTAGACAGATACTATATTGAGGCTCTGAAATAGATTTATTATGTTTAGTCTCAGAGGCCTACATGGAGATCTTGTTTGGGATTTCATTTAAAAATTTTAAGGTTTTTAGGAACTTTGGGAAAGATTCTAAATAGACAAGACAACTTAAAGTTGTTCCAGTTGTTTCTCAAATAGCAAGTTAAAACTCCTAAATTTACTTTAGCAGGGGTAGATTCTAAATCTGGGGAATGAGAATGGGGTGGAGACACTTAGTTCTCGCTGATCTCATGAACCCATTATAAAAAGTGGATTCTTAAAAATATATAAATGTATACAAAATATATTAACACATACACAAACACACATATGCTTTTCAGATCAATTAAAACTTTGCATGACTGCTCTCACATCGTCTTTAATGACACATAAAATTTTGTCCCAAGTGCACTTATCTGTAGAGACAAAGCATCTGATATAGGAGTACAAATGTGTTAAAAGAAATGTATGACTATGGGTCATATTTTAGATGTCAACGAAAATAGCTATTAAACCACAGAAGGATTTCTTTAGGCCCTAAGCTTTGGCCTGTGTTTATTTATGACTACATGAGTTCGGGGGTTACATCAAGGAAATGCTGGAAATTCAGAAGGACATTAAGAAAAAAATAGCTTTACTCCTAAGACCTCTTTTTGTATGTCATTTACAACGTGACTATTGACACCTGCCACCTTCAATGTGTACTCTTACACACCTGGGATGATGAGAGGTCCAGCTCCTACCTCAGAAAGGAAAAAGCCGAGCTTATTTCAGGAACATCAAAGGAGTAACTGTCCAAAAGAGGTTCTGACAGACCTACCAGGAGGTGTGCAGGCATCTGCAGGAGACTGGACGAATGTGGACCGCCTTTTGGTTGGCATGGGCAGAGCCATTTTCTGTTCTTTATGCTTTGCCAGTGCGGCTTGAACTGCTTCTGTATGGATATCTGAAAGATTAAACGTTTGCATTTATTAGCTCCTGGTTCGTAAAGTGTTTACTTCTGTGAGCTGAACTATCACTGCCTCAGTTGTTGAAAAAGGGATGCTTAGGTGACTTTTACTTATACTTGGTAACAATTAAAAATAAAAATGAAAGAGAGGAGACAAAAGAAGAAGTCAAGGATAATTTTACAAAGAAGGAAAAAGAAACGCAGAACGATTATGTGACTGCTTCAGACACCGAACAAGATGGGGGGGCAGGGGTGGGGAGAGGGTAAGGCGTCTAACACGCACCTGTGCCAGGCAGGGGATCCCACCGCTGAATGGGATGAGTGTTGCGCAGGTGCCTGGGGGACACTCACTATTCTTCAAGAAAAGACGCTTATGATCTACTTAACTATCTGAAAGGGGTTGACACACGTCAGTTCTACACCACAGAAACAGAAGGGCTGATTCTGATCTAGAAAAAATGTAAGGGCTGATGGTACTTGTTTGCCACTTTGGCCACAAGAGAATTCAGTTCTCCCCCTGAAGTCTAAATGGAGTCTCAAAGTTAACATATCTAGATAGAACTTGAGATTCTCCACTCCCACCATAAAATGCCCTCTACATTTCTGCAAAATCCTATGAAGGTAGGTAACAACTGAAGTAGCTTCCTAGTTCACAAGAATTTCCTCGTCTCAGAAATGGGCCCAGTCAGGGGACATGCGAACTATCCTTAGAAGCCTGTCTGTGCTACGTAAAGGCGCCCCTTATAAGAGGTGGACCAATCAGATCCTTTTATTAGGGCAGGGGGAATTTAAACTGAATCAAGAAAACACAGGTCCTAGAACTGAGTCACTTTAAAGATAATGCCCTACAAAGAAGGAAAGTCCTTGAACTTCAGGGTTGAGACCCCCCAAAGCTGCCTCTCCTTTTCTAGGGATTTCTCAACTGTTCTCTGCTTCTACGACTTACCCCAGCTATTTAAGGTAACCCGAGCTAGCCTGTTTCATGCAACAACAAAACCTCCGCTAATATAACCAGAAACATCTTTGTGTGTAAATATAGACTTATAATTTTAAAGGGCTGCATAGAATTTCACTATATGTCTGTGCCATAATTTATTTAAGCAACTTTGTTTCCAAAGTTTTGCTACTATTCATAGCAACTATTCACAGCAAGAATAATTCAATATTTTCACCTTAGTACATGTCTAATCCTGTTTCTGTAGGATTAATTCCAAAAATTGCTGAGATGTATTTCCTAAGAACAAGGATTTTACTCTTATATAACCACAGTACATTTATCAAAATGCAAAAATTAAAAATTGATACAAACTATTATGTAACCCACAACCCATATTCCAACTTAGCCTACTATCTCTCAATAATAAGTTTTTCCTCCTTTGTTCCTGATCTGAGACCTAATATAGAATCACACATTACATTTACTTGTCACATCTTTCATCCTATAATGTGGAACAATTTCTCAACCTTTGTCTTTTATTACCTTGACATTATTGTACAGACTAATTGTATTGTACAATGTCCCTTAATTTTGGCTTATTGATATCCCTCATAATTAGATCCCTCAAATTCCTGCATTTTGGCAGGAATACCATAGAAGTAAATGTCTTCTTGAAACATTATGTCAGGAAGCATCTGCCCCATTACTGGTGATAGTAACTTTGATTACTTGGTTAAGATGGTGTCTACTAAAGTAATCCATTGCAAAGTTACTATTCTTCCCTTTATGTAATTAATAAATAATTTATGGGTGAATGCTTTTGAGATGATGTAACTGTTACATATTTCATTAAACTTTCACCTATTTCAGAATCCATTGATGATTCTTGTCTGAATCAATTATTATTATAATGGCTACAAAATGTTGATTTTATTTCTTAAAGATTTTTTTAATTATTTATTTGAGAGAGAGAGAGAGAGATAGTGAGAGAGAGTGTGAGCAGGGAGGAAAGAGAGAAGCAGCCTCCCCACTGAGCAGGGAGCCTGACTCGGGGCTCCATCCCAGGGATCATGACCTGAGCCGAAGGCAGATGCTTAACTGACTGAGCCACCCAGGTGCCCCCAAAATGTTGATTTTATAACTCCATCATTACTTCTGTATTTATTAGTTGGTTTTTCTATTATAAGAAAAAGCATCCCTTTCTCCCCCAATTTATTTTTATCAATACAGACCTATTGATTCTCATTTTATTCCATGGCTACTGTTACTATCATTACTTATTTTGATGGTCCTATTACCCCAAATTTGACCAATTAGGCCAAATCAAACTGGCTCTTATGTCCTTTAGACATATTCCCATCATTTTGAGCAGTAACTGTTTTCTGGTCTAAGATGTTCCAGGTATGTTCCCTGTTCCAGCACTAGAATTAGACATCTCTCTAAGGAGCCTTGGCTCCTCTTAGTGGAGAATGGTATTTAGAAACCAAGATCTTAAAAGTAGGAGTGCTCAGTGCAATTGCGGTATCTTTCTTCTAAGCCCTTTCATTGGATAAAGGAATATAAATGCGAAAATATTCACACACATATATCTACATCAGTATTAAAAACCATAAATTCATATTAATAACTCTAATTCCATTTCAACACCACAGAATTCATTCAACCTTCCCCTTTTCCATTTGTAACTCCGTTCTCTAACAGTAAGAAACCTGGTTCACAAAATCCTCAATATATTTTATTCATTCACTCATTCACTCAATCGTACAATACACAAAGTAGTTTCAAAATTACTATCCCATATCACTATGAAAAATAAGTCTAACCAGAGGTTCAGTATTTGTTTGTTCCAGCTGTCCAAGCACCAATTTATTAAAAAGCACATTTCTGACCCAATGATTTACAATGCTATCTTTATTTTTTTTTTAAAGATTTTATTTATTTATTTGACAGAGAGAGACACAGCGAGAGAGGGAACACAATCAGGGGAGTGGAAGAGGGAGAAGCAGGCTTCCTGCGGAGCAGGGAGCCCGATGCGGGGCTCGATTCCAGGACCCCGGGATCATGACCTGAGCCAAAGGCAGACGCTTAACAACTGAGCCACCCAGGCGCCCCCAATGCTATCTTTATTATACACTAAATCCCAGAGGTACTTTGGTCTATTTCTGCACCTGTTATTCTATTTCAATGGTCTGTCTGCCACTTTGTGTGCCATACCGCACTATTTTAGAGTCTTTAGAGTATGCTTTAATATCTAGTCGGTACAGTCACTCTTCATAGGTTTTCTTTCTCAGTGTTTCCTAGCTATTCTTACATATTTATTTTCCCAAATGAATTTCAAAAATGAATTTTCTAGCTCCACAGATAAATTTGATAGTGTTACTGGGACTGGATTAAATTTATAAACTAATTTAGGGAGTCCTGCCATCTTTGTCATGCTGAATTATCCTATCAAAGAATTAGGGATGCTTTCCATTTATCATGTCTACTTTGTGTCTTTCAGGGTGTTTTAAAGTTTCCTTCATAAAGGCTTTACACATTTCTTATGTTTTTCCTAAATAGGTCTTATCTTTTCTATTGCTTCTGTAAATGAAATTTGCTCTACCACTACATCTTTTAACTGGTTATTGGTTGCATATAAGAAGGCCGCTGATTTCTGTACTAATTTTGTATCTTGCTACCTGACTGAATTATTTCATTAGATTAATTTTGCCATTGACTCTCTTGGTTTTCTAAATAAACATCATATCAAGTACAAATACAGTTCTACTTTTTCTTTTCTAATTCTTATACCTCTAGTTGATTTCTCTTGTCTATTTGCATTAATACCTCTAGTACAATTTAAATGTTAGCACTGTTAAGATTAAAAAAATCTTGCAAATAAATTTTTTAAAAGATGAACAGCTTAACCTTAATACAATAGGCTTAGGTATTGGACAGGTAGTTTACAGAAGAAACATAAAGGGTCAATAAACATATTCAAAAGATCCAATCTCATTAGTGACACTTCTACCAACAAGGTATGAGAGTGTCCATTTCCCTACATCTATGGATAACACTGAACCATTTTTTTCATTTTTCCCCAAGAGATAAGTGAAAAATGTTATTTTACAGTTTTAAAGTAGCTGCTCCTATTTTTGGCTTGTTTTTATTAAGTGGTTAAGACATGATGCGTAAGTGCCATAGATGGGCTTAAGTACATCTATGGGGCAGAACAGAGTCTAAGTGCCCTTACCTGTTAGGATGGATGAATGGATAGATAGATGAACAGATAGACAAGTAGGTAGATAATGGACAGACTGAGAGGCAGACAGACGCATGGGCAGGTTGAGTCAGTAAATAGAGAAGTACAGTTAAGAGTTACCTGCAAGCCATCAAGTAGTCGCGCCATTTTTACCAATTGCTAAGGTACGAACCACTTCAACATTTTTAATTATGGTAGAGGCAGCAACTATTAAGTTCTGGAACATTAGGATATCACATTAATTTTGGCACCACGCCGTGGGCTAGTGGGAACGGAGAGTGAAATTTTAATTTAGTTTAAATTTAAATGAAATTTACTTTGCATTTCATATTCCCCTATACAGATAATGTGTCTTTAGCCTGGAATATCTAGATAGCAAACAGCTACTCGTCCTTCAACACCTCCACGAAGCCTGCCCTTGACAGTGCCCAGTTCCCAGGCTCCTTTTCCTGTCACCCCCTCGTCTATGCTGCCTCTACCTTGTATAAAGGGTTCCTGTGTTTAACAACAGATTCTTGTATTTCTGTCTGTGTTTCTCTAGCATCTAAATTGTGCTCAACTCATAGGAGGTCTACAGTAAATTCTTGCTGAACTGAAATAAACTCCATTTACTTTCCTTGGCACAGGGAAGCATGTTAATATAGAAATAAAATGGTCCTGGTGTATCCGTGGCAGCTACCTTAGCAAATGCCACCATGTCAGAGATCAGATTTGGACAGAGATATAAAGTTCTCAATTAGGGTGACAGAGGGAGTTATTGTTCCATTTAGCTCCCAGTATTAAGTTGGAAGAATCCATACTTAGAGTAAAAATCATTACGAACAGTAACTGACTTAAGGCTTTAAATCACTTATCCAGGGCTATCATTTTTAAAACTATCTTTTACAAACTCCCAGTTATAAAATCATTAAGTCCCGGGGATGAAATGTACAGCATGGTGGCTACAGTTAGTAATACTGTATTGTACACTTGAAAGTTGCTGAGAGATTAAATCTTTTTTTAAAAATTTATTTAGGAAGAGAGAGCAGGGAGAGGGACAGAGGGACGGAGAGAGAATCTCAAGCAGACTCCCCACTGAGCACAGAGCCCAACGCAGGGCTCAATCCCACAACCCTGAGATCACGACCTGAATCAAAATCAAGAATCAGATGCTTAACCAACTGAGCCACTCAGGCGCCCCTAAGAGAATAAATCTTGAGTCCTCACCCCAAGAAAAAAAATTTTTTGTAACTATGTGTGCTGGTGGACTTATTGTGGCGATCATTTTACAATATCGAATCATTGTGTTGTACACCTGACCTAATATAATATGTCAATTATACCTCAGTAAAAGGAAAAAAAACTACCTGCTATTTTTTTGTTTAAAAATAATATAAATACATTTTATATGTATTTTGTATTTTACCACAATTAAAAAAACTGGAAAAAAATTAATATACATATTGGAAAAAGATGTAAGCAGGGGCGCTTGAGTGGCTCAGTCGGTTAAGCATTTGCCTTCGGCTCAGGTCACGATCCCAGGGGCCTGAAATCGAGTCCTGTATCAGGCTCCCTGCTCAGCAGAGCGCCTGCTTCTCCCTCTCCCTCTGCTGCTCCCCCTACTTCTGCTAGCTCTCTCTCTGTCAAATAAATAAATAAAATCTTTAAAAATTAAAAAAAAAAAAGATGTAAGCACATAGAATGCTGAAGTGAAAATTTTCCCCAGATCCAGCTCTTCTCAGAACTAATCCCACCTCTCTCTCTAAAATGAATAAATAAATCTTAAAATATATATAGATACACACACACACACAGAGTACATCTCTCCCTATCTGCACAAAAAAATCTACCTCATTGCTTTTCTGTGAGCCTTCACAGAATTTGAAAATCAACTTTCATACAATCTGTTACAAATTATTTAACCATTGTTTTATTATGAATGATATTACAACAACGATATTTGCATCTATATCTTTGTGCACATATGTAGGTATTTGTATAAAATAAATTCCTAGAAGTGGAGTTTCTGGGTAAAAAATGTATGAATATTTAAAGTTTTAAAGTATTCCCTTTTAAAGTATTTCAAAGTAAAATACTTTAATAAAGTATTATAAATAAAATACTTAATACCTTTTAAAGTATTAAGACCACAGTACCAACTTACTTATGGCTCTGAAATAATATTACACTGCATTTATATTTATTATACTACTTTAGTGTCCCTGAGGTTTACTTAGTTGAATCAAGAATACCATATTTTATTGAATCTATGATGCTATCCTATATAAAACATATCTTGATTTCAGACATGTTAAAATGTAAAAAGTGTCCTTCTTATATTAGATGAAATTATGGTTCTTAGCTGTCATGGAAAACAAATGATTAACTGCTTATACTGAGAAAAAGCACCTCCTCAACAACAGCAAATCAAATGCTTACAGTTATTAATTAAAAACACATTTCCAGTATTTTTGCATGAGATATGAAACATGTAATAGCAAACTTGCTAAAAACAGGGAATTATTCACAGTAATCAAGCTTTACAAGGCCCGTAACATTTGGATAATTAACAATTACAGAGCATGTTCTTCTTTACCATAAGGATTCTAGCATCAGGCCACAGAACAAATCAAACCACCCATCTATTTTCTAACATGATAAGCCCTGGCCCATACATCAGTGTCAAAAGGAGATGTTCACAGTTACTATATTAGCAAAGCGTCTTATTGATAAAAACAGGCAGCTCTCCTAACTGGCTTTGACTCATTCACCAGCATACAATTCATCCTGATCTTTGATAAAGAAGTCACTTCTGAATTTCAGTCCCCAGACATGGCTGACTTTGGACATCTCTGCCAGAAGCACATGAAACCTGGGTATCATTTTCCAGCACTACTGTCTGAGCTGAAAAGGTGATAAAATACTTTACAAGTCCTTTTTTGTTTTTGTTGTTTTGTCTGAGGTAGCTAATTGCTCAAAAATTTAACTTTAAAGGAGTTGTCAGAATGACTAACCATAAGATCATTATCCATCTCAGGCACCAACTGTCTATTTTCTACACCTGTGACCCTAACACAGGTGTAGAAAGGTGTATCATGCCTTGATATGCAGGAAAAAAAGGTACTAACCTTTTGCACTTTGGCTAAGTGCAAAGAACAGAATCAGGTCAGATATAACTCTGAATAAATATAAACTCTTTATACCATGTCCGAAACATGAAATACCAAAGTCTACTTAGATTTATTATGATTAGTTGAAATGTCATAGGTATTAATAAGCCTCCACCAAATAAGAAAGGATTTTCCAGTTACACTCACTAACATCAATAAATCCTTTCTGTGTACCCACCAGTTTATTCTGAATGCTTGTGATTTTTGCTAAACACACCCTATGTTCTCACGCCACTGTCACAAAGAGGTGAAGTTCAACTTCCAACAATTTCTACCATTTATTTGCTCTACTTCTGCCGCGACTGTTGATTTCTTCTTATTCATAAGGGGCGCCTGGGTGGCTCAGTCATTAAGCGTCTGCCTTCAGCTCAGGTCATGATCCCAGCGTCTTGGGATTGAGCCCCACATAAGGCTCCGAGCTCGGCGAGCCTGCTTCTCCCTCTGCCTGCCATTCCCCCTGCTTGTGCTTTCTCTCTCTCTGACAAATAAATAAAATCTTAAAAAAAAAAAAAAAGGAGCCACAATTTGTTGAGTTTTCCTTTGCAACTTGGCTAAGTCCTAATATACTGAAAAATGTGATTTTCACCTAAAATTCATGCTTGCATGCCTCCTCTTTCATGTGCCCCCTCGTGACAGTATTGCAGTAGTCTCATAGCTTTCAATATCTTCAGGGTTTTTAAATCACCTTTTCTTCCCTACTTTACCTTCTCTCTGGCCTGCTTGCTGCTACCTCAAAAGAAAAAGTCCCTGCAGACAAATATCCAAAACCCTACTCTTAAACCCGCAAAACCCCTGCACCGAACTAAGAGACTCCACAGTCTGCTAACCAGTATTTGATTCATAGACAACACTTTCCAACATTTGGGGTAGATCTGAAAGAACTGGTATAAAAGAATAGGGGCTGGAGATGACAGTTAGGTGTTAGTTGATGAAGGCCAAAATTTTACACTAAAGGTCACTATAGCCTTTTTCTGTATGTGATCAGCCTGGACATAGGATAGAGAATCACCTTTTTGGTTCCTTACTAATCCTTTTATTATATGCCTTAAAACAAACCAAAAAAAGGGGGGGGAGGGTGAGAGGACCCACAAAACTCCCAGAAGGCCAGGGGTGAGAGTTTAGAGGCCCAAACCCTTCTGGACTGGTCAGAACCCACTGCTGCTGAACCTGGGCCCCAACCTTAAAAGGTGCCTGGGAAATCGGGCTCGGGTCTTGACAACAAAGAGGAGCTCCTGAGAGGTTTTTCTACATCCAGCTGTACCTCCCTCTAATCCATTTCTTAACTAATAATTACTTTTATTCTTTCTTTTCTCCAAAATATCTATTTAGCCCTTATATATGTTTGGCCCTGTGCCAGGCACGGGGACGCAGGAATGGCAGAACATGCAGTCTGCAGCTGGAGCAAACCTCTAGAACAAACACAAATCTACGTAACTGCTCTGCTGAAATCCTTCAATGGTATTCAAGATTCCTCAAGATCTCGTCCCTGGTGATCTTTCTAGACTCATTTCCCACCTATTTCTGGGTCCTTGGCATTCTAAGTTTCAGTCATAATGAACCCCTTTCAGGTCTACTATCTGATGCTATCTCCTTAATGTCTGTCTGCCATGACACCATTTAGATGTCTAATTCTCTGCGAAGCCTCCCCTGATTACTCAAGACCAGGTTAGGTATAAGGGAAAATTCTGGTGTGGCATGGAATTTCTATTTTTTTGATGGAACACTTCTCGTTCCTTCCTTTCAGTGCATAAAAATACACATCTAATAAAATCAGCTCACAAAAGGTCTGACACAACTCTGCAACCATCTCCTTTTCCTCATTTTCTCTAAAGCAGTTTCTGAAAGGATGTGATATACACTCTGTTTTCCAATTCAAGAAAAGATTAAAGGTTGGCTGGTACAGGAGTCAAAAATCTGAAGAAAGTAAAAGAGCACTGCAATTAGTTTGATGGCTCAATTCTGCTACTTTGTAAGGCAGTGAATGGGCTGCAGAGACTGCCTTAGCACAGTGGACAACGGGTGGGCACCGGAGGGGCTTGCCATGCCACAGGTCCTCCTGAGGGGCCAGGATTTGGTGCTCTGCTCATCAGTCCTGGCCATGATATGGCAGGGGCACGTTCCCGCTGCCGGCCACAGCCTGTTGCCTTTTCCCTTCTTCGGGAGACCTTTTGGGTCAGAAGAAAGAAAGTTTAAGAGTTGACTAATTTGAAATTTCACTGTGAGTTTTTGTTCCAGCTCCATTAGTAAGAAGACTTGATCTACAACTCTGGCAAACACGGAAGGATATGCCTCTTCCGACAGTCCACAGAGCTCTCCCAGGACCACCCTATGTGACCCTAGCCCCCCACTCTTCTTATTTATTTATTCGTGTTGCCTTTGTACCTGTCCGGCTCCCCTTCTGCCCTTGAGTGCAGAAACGTTGTATTTGCTGCTGTAGCCGCAGCAAATACTGAGTATCTACCACACCTGGCACATAATAGATACTCAATAAATGACCGATGAATGAACTAATATAGACCTGCTGGCCGTTCAATGGGAAAAAAACAAACATTAAAAGCTTTCAGGAGACACAGTTCATCCTACAGTCACTAAAAACTCCTCTGCCGGTAGCTTCCAGTTCCTTCTCACCTGATCGGTATCGTTCATCCCTGGCTCCCCCAGACCGAGTTCGGTGGTACTTAGAAGGAGCGGATGTTTGAGCTGCAGACGGAGCAGGTGTCTGGTTTCTATGTTCTTTCTGTACTGCTGAATCAGTTTCTAAAAAAGGAAGTTTGGAATACGGTTATCTGACAATAATAACAACTAAAGTTTTCTGAGCACTTTATGGCATTCCCACAACACTCAGGTAGGTACTATTACCCCATCTATAATAAATGATTAGAGAGCATCAATGTACATACATAAAAACGATGCAAAGACATCCAGGCTAAAAAATATACTTAGAGTCGTAATTGTCAATAGGTGATGGGAGAGAAATAGCAAGAAGCTAAATGTAAAGTGAAAAGGCCATTCCAGAGATTCTAAGAATTAATGGGGGGGGCGCTGTATATGACCTCCTAATCCTGCATAATGGTACAAAGAAAGTATGGAGAGCTTTAGCCTCCCCCACCATAAGATACTCCAAATAAACATGTCATTTAAGCAAAATTACAGTGTTTATTATGCAAACAGCTTCAAGTCAAGTCTAATAGCCCCTTTCAACTGGAGTCACTACTGAACTTGTCCCTTTCCAGTACCTGGCCTGTCCCCATTCTCTGCCCTCTCAACATTTACTGTCTTATAAGGAATACAGAGAATGGGGAAATAAGCAGGTAAAATAATCAGAAGAAAAACTAAGTTCTGGTATTATACTGCCTTTTTTTCCCTCAAATGGTGTGAGCTCCTAAGTTATATTTTTTAAAGTTATAGCAAGACCTTTTAACATAAGATATATGCTTTTAATAAATTTATAAGTGTATAATACAGTACTGTAAACTCCAAGCATGAGTTTCAGGTGTAGAGTTCAATAATTCATCACTGCGTGTAACACCCAAGTGCTCATCCCATCACATGCCCTCCTTAATGCCCATCACCCAGTTACCCCATACCCCCACTACCTCCCCTCTAGCAACCCTCAGTTTGTTTCCTATGGTTAAGAGTCTCTCATGGTTTGTCTCCCTCTCTGATGACTTCCCCATAACTAAAACTTTTTACCCACTGAGTAGCAATTCCCCATTCCCCCCCCAGCTCCCCTGCTCTTCAGCTCCCCCTCCCCCCTCAGCAACCACCATTCTACTCTCTTTCTGAGTATGACTGTTTTAGATTCTTCATAAAAGTGGAATCATATAGCATTTGTCCTTCTGTGACTGGCCTATTTCACTCAGCATCATATCCTCCAGATTCATCCATGTTGTCACATATTGCAGTATTTTTTTTCTATGGCATATTTTAAATTTCTTAAATAGCACTTAATTGTGCCCAGCAAGGATCTCACACATAGGAAATTAAGTGCCCACTACAGTAAGACGTCACTTATCCAGCGAATGTACTGCTCCAGATCACAGGTGAGAATCAGCTTCTAAAGTCAAGAAATAAAAAAGCAGACTGAAAGCACAGTGGTCTGGGGAGTATAAGCAATAGTCCCACATACCTTATGCAGGCTGAGGGCATCACAGTACTATAGGAACTGAGACTCATCATGACAATGTCATATCATCTTTTAAAAAGGGTTAGCATGCTAGAGAGGCCATCTATAAGAGCCCTTGGTGACAGTCCCAGCTGAGCCCAGCCCTCTACCTGCCCCTGCCAAGGTACCAGACATATGAGCGAAACCATCTTGAACCTTCTAGACCAGCCCATGAACCAGGTGAAAAGCACTTAGTGACCCTCAGTGGCACCATGTGGAGCATGAAAATCACCCAACCGAGCCCTGCTCAAATTCCTGGCCCACAAAATCTTAAGACAGAATTTAAAAGGATTTTATTTTTTTAATGGTTAGATTATTTTTCATATACTGTTTTTAAGAAAGCAAGAAGAATATATTTTAGGATGCTCTCCACTAAAGTGCTTTTATGGATCTAGAAATGTTTATTTTTGATGGTTCCTGGCAGCTGAAAATTTTAACATAAAATATATTAGTAGAGCAGAACATATTTTAACACTGATATTTTGAAATGTAATGTCTGGGATTGTAAATTGAAGGTTTTTTTTTTAAGACTTATTTATTTTAGAAAGAGAGAGAGAGTGCGCACACACAAGCGGGAGGGGCAGGGTGAGAGGGAGACAGAATCTCAAGCAAACTCTGCACAGAGCACAGAGCCTGACACAGGGCTCAATCCCAGGACCCTGAGATCATGACTTGAGCCGAAACCAAGAGTTGGGTGCTTAGGGGAACCTGGGTGGCTCAGTTGTTAAGCGTCTGCCTTCGGCTCAGGTCATGATCCTGGGGCCCTGGGATCAGGCCCCATATGGGGCTCCCTGCTCAGGGGGGAATCTGTCTCCCTCTACCTCCCCCACCCCAACTCATGCTCTCTCTCTCTCTCTGTCTGAAATAAATAAAATCTTAAAAAAAAAAAAAAAAGAGTTGGGAGTTCAACCAACTGCACCACCCAAGGGCCCCTGTAAATTGAAGTTTTTAATCAACCTAAATTCTTTTGATGGTACATTTCACAGAAGAGCTATACTGAATTCTTAATATTTTCATACCTCGTTCCATTTCTTAGTTTACAAAGGAGTTAACAAACTATAGCCCATTTCTTTTTATTTTTCTAACTAGTTTCATCAGAACATCGCCATGCTCGTCTGTTTATGTACTGCCTAGGGGTGCTTTCATTCACACTGTCAAGGCAGCACTGAGAAACTGGGACAGATACTGATGGTCCTCAAAGCCTGGAATATCTACTATCTCACCCTTCACAGAAAGAGCTTACCAACTCTTGGTCTATAATAACAAAAGCTAGTGGCTCAGTCGGTTAAGTGTCCAATTCTTGATTTTGGCTCAGGTCATGATCTCAGGGTCACAGACTGAGCCCCACATCAGGCTCCACGCTGGGCATGGAGCCTGCTTAAGAGTCTCTCTCTCTCCCTCTCCCTCTAAAACCCCACCCCCACTGCTTGCTCTCTCTAAAAATAAAAAAATAAGGTTCATTTTGTGCTAGGCACTGTGCGTTCAGAAGTCTTCACGTTATTTATTCCTCACAACAATCCTACAAAGTCAGCAGTAACACTATCAACTTATTACAGAAAAGAGATCAGAAACATGGGTTATTTTATGCAAAGTCACACAGCCAGGGGATGGCAGAGCCAGGATTCAAACCCAGATCTGTCTAACTCCACTGGTTCTCAACCAGAAAAGGGTATGAAAATTCTCCCAAAACTATTAGGAGGAAAGCAATCAGAATTAACAATATAGTTTAGGAACATCTAAATGCTTCAGGATTTACAGTCAGCGGCTAGATAATAGTTCCTTTAAAAAAAAAAAAATCAACTGCCTTCATGTACAAGATTCTGCAAAAAGCCCCTCCAAATAAAATTTTCAGCCTTTCATTAGAGAAATCATTTAAAGCATATTCCAATTAACTTTAAATAGAGAACAAAATATAGAAAGGGGCTATTTTTATTTATATTGTCAGATGATCTATACAGGAAGGAAATCAGGTTAGTACACATGAGCTACTCTGCCTGTAAATATGCACAGAGAAAATGGTTTAACTTAGAGCACTAAGTTTAAAACATTAGCTTTGTATTACTTTGTGGGGGAGGGTGTTACAGTGAACCTATATCTGAATTGCCCATCACTGATTACTTTTTAAATTAAGTAAGTAGGGCAGACCAAACCACCCTGCTAAGAAACACGGAGCTTCTGAATTAGATAGGTAATAATCCAAAGGATGAAAACATGAACACAGATTCTCATTTCACAAAGGAGGGACACCAAACGTTTATGTATTTTTTACCATTCCTCTCACTTATGCTTTTACTTTGTATTCTTCAATGTAATTACTTAGGAGAAAGAAGATAATATAGGTCAAAGAATAGAAATTGTTTCAAAGAAATGACAGAGCAGTGATGGGGAAGTGGGAGTTGATACATTTGTTTGAGGAAAAATGCAAGAGAATGAATATTTCTACTCAGGATTATCTAAGCGTTATCAGAGATCAGACATCTGATGAGAACTGAGAGTCAGATGACACTTAGCAAGAGATCTACTGAGCTGGTACCGGGGGCGGGGGGGGGGGGGGGGAGGCCTCACAACACTCTATTCACCAAGCAACATTACTATGATGGTCTGCTATGTTTATCTCAGTTCTCTCAGGAATTTAGTCATCCAAGCAGACCAGGTCCTTTTTGGGTCTAAAACCATGACAAATCATTTTGTTGTAGCTTGTCAGAAATGAAAACAGAAGGTCAATTTGCAGTTTCAATAAGTGGCTGACAAGTTTGTTCAGTGAGTATTCCTCGGTTGCCCACAAAGCACAATGTCTGACAGAACAACCTTGGCTTAAATTTGCAATATACCAATCAATCAATCAATTTGCAATATACCAATCAATCAATCAATTTGCAATACACCTGCTTCAAGTTCAAAAGAAGCGAAAGAAAGAAAGCAAGAAAGCAAAAAGAGTAAAATGAATTCTTTGGAATTGAATCACTTTAACAGGGGAGTTTAATAATGGAACTGTAGATAATCCTTCTTTTTTAAGTAATCTCTACATCCAACATGGGGCTTGAACTCACGACCCTAAGATCAAGAGTCACATGACTGTACCAGCCAGGCACCCCTGTAGATAATCCTTTTGAATGTAAATAATCAGTCTCCAATTTACATGAATTTTATAAATTTTTATTCCCATGAATTAGTTTATCTTTTAAAATATAATACAAGTATATTTTATATGTGCATTGAAAAAACTGGAAGCAAATACAGTAAAATGTTAATAGCAATTATCTCTAGGGGATGAGATTATGAATGTTTTATATATTTTTTCATAGGCTTTACTGGGATGCTATAATTTAGAAAAGTTACCTTTTCAAAACATAAATATATGTTCATTACAGAACATCAAGGAAATAGTTAAGTGTAAAGAAGAAAATAAAAATGATGTTGGATCGTCTTAATTCAAAGGTCATACCATATAGAATAGATTCTGACCAAAAGAAGTTGAAATAATATTCAGTTTTTAGCTTCTTTAGATAAATTAGGGCTCTACAAGCAGGATTTTCCAATCTTCTAAAATCAGTTGCCTCCTTTTCCAAAAGTAACTGACAAATCAATACAA